GGCCAGAAAGGATAAGCAACAAGGCACTCACTGTGACTCGCAAAGAACCAACCAAGAAGCTATCGCCCAAAAAATATGCAGAAGAAAGTCGATATGGATTGGACTGGACATACACTGATAAGACCGATTGGAGTATCACACACCAGGCCGTCGAGTGGAATCCAGATGGGAAACGACGAGTTGGGCGTCTGAGGCGAGGGTGAAATGGAGGACATCATGTGAGCAAGAAATGAAAGCTTATAGGCAGTCGTGGGACCAGGTTAAAAAGACTGCAAAGAAGAGAGTGAAATGGCGACTTGCTACCGAAGCCCTAAACTCCACTAGGAACCCAAGGGACAAATAATGAATAATGACACTACTTATGGAAGGCATCACCATGGCCTATTCCTAGAAGATGCCTGCAAACTCATCCAGCTCTAGACGATTTTACTAACCCCACACAGCATACCGCCACAAATAGTATATAACCGCTGTCAAATTATCGTTAATATGACGAACACCAACGAACCAATTACGGTAAGTGAGGTACTTGTGATATTCCAACTAGTTATAAGACATGGACATACTGGACAGAGCGGTGACAACCGCAAAGTTTGAATTAATTCTTTGCCGCCCCATCCAAGCTTGCCGGATTTTTGATGTGGTGACAACTCGTAAACACTAAGCAGGTCGTACATATTTCTCGCACATTCCTACGAAAGGGCTAGGCGAGCACTATGAGTTCCCAATTTGCTAAGTCCCGCTGGTTGATTGGTAACCACAGGCTAGGAGTCACGTCATGGATTTGCAGATTCAAACAAGTGCCACTACGAGCACACAGGGGCAAGCTACGAGTTTCAAGGGTTACAAAATGAATGACTACATCAAAACCGCCTCAATGTAGTAGCTTGGAAAATTTAATCTATATTACGCACAGTGACACCGCCACTGACTTGCACATACTCATCGTGAAGCAGACACCTGACATCACAGGCTAGTTTCAACGTTAGCCACACAATGTCAATTGGCAATACGCTAGGCATGTAGTTCATGTCTTTCTTCAATTAAGTGGACACACACCGCAGAACTAGTAATCCAACAGAAACTTCTCCTTTATGCAGAGAAAATCCAACGACATGAATAACACTGAAAAAAAAGTATCTCCCGTTCCCTTGTCCTTTCACTTCAAAGGAAACAGACGGTTAGCAAGCCAATCCAAACAACAGTCGTTAAAGAAACTCGATAACTTAACACAGATCACACCTATCACTCGTCAGGTACTTCAAAGAATCGCGCTACTTCCAAAATAAAATAACAGAAGTTCAATCAAGGTGTCAAATAAAGATCTTGTATAATATGACGGCTAGTGTGATTTATACATGGCGAAATTCAGCTGTCACCGGCCTCCACTTCGTCTGCACATTGAGCATCAGTGGCCCATAACTAATTAAAATATTAGATTTGTAAATAGAGACACTCCTTACCGTTAAGTTATCTCTCAGCAGTTGCATTATAAGTGTGCTATCTTTGTACGATTCATCTTGCAGCTGATCTAGTTCTGCAATCGCCGCATCAAAAGCTTCGCGTGCAAGAGTACAAGCTTTGTCACAGCTATTCATTATCTCATAGTAGAAGACTGAAAAGTTGAGAGCCAAACCGAGGCGAATAGGGTGAGTAGTAGGAAGCTTCTCGTTGGCTATTTCAGTGGCCATTTTATAAGCATTTAGGGACTTAGTAACCTCAACTTCTCGTTTATCAACAGGCTTGACTTCAGCAAGGTAACGGTAATAATCACCTTCCATCTTTTTGTAGAATACCTTGCTTTCATCACTATCCGCATTTGGCATTAAATACTTCTCTATTAATGTCTACACATAATACACATATCAACACAACTTACCAAAACCTCCTTGCATATCTCGTTCAGCTCCTCTTCCATTTTAATTCGACACTCCTCGGCAATTTGCTTACGTCTAGGGTGGCTGGCTGCTTTGGCTTCGCTTGCTGAAATCACCCTCCATGCAGATCGTCTGGCTCCAACAACATTTTTGTACGCCACAGATAGTAAATTACGTTCCTCATTTTCCAACCGCTCCTTCTTCTCAGTATAAAGCTTCATAGCAGCTGCCATATCGTCATAGCGCTCTGCTTGCTCTGCCAATCTGGCGATGTTTGCCAAATCCTCAGGTTTGGCATTAGTCTCTTTGAGCACCCACGATGATAGCATGACTTTGGCAATCAACAACACAGTAACCAGAACAACAACTCAAAATGCCGCGTGAATGTTACTAATATATATATGTTGTACAACAACCTAGTTCCACCGTTTTCACCCTAAATTCAACCCATACTGTGAGAAAAATACAAAATATTGTTTACATTTAGTGTATTCTTTTAAAACTGAATAATTAGTTTGGATATTGCCTCTCTCTTCATATCTACTTGTTATTCGTCAACATAAATATTATTTGATCATAAATTTATTGACTTTCCTCACTATGATCAAATTAAGTTCCTGCGTACACTACTTGCTGTCGCATGAAATTTGAGAGCTTTTCTACTTTCTATCACTGCTTACACCCGAAGATGTTGGTGTATTAACTCTAGTTGTATTACACGAGAAACTCAGGACTATCTATCTCTCCACATCAAAGAAAGTGCCTATCGGTTGATAAAATGCAGTTAGAACTCCCCTGGCTGAATACCGTCTTGTATATATACATATATCTATATCCGTAATACAAATAATTCCGACAATTCGTGTGATCACGGGAAGTAATTTTACTCGAAATATTACCTCGCCAAAAGTAGATAACATCATTGTGTCTCAGCATTCATTTGAAGCATATTCATGGTAAACCATGTTGTACACTTTTGAGCTCACCTCTCCCAGTTGTTCTTTCTTATGTCTGTGACGATTGCCTAACTGGATCATACCTAAATCATTCTTTCTGAATGCTGCATATGAGGTTCACAGACTTCGCAGATAGCGTCGCTATTTACCATTTTCAATACTGCGAATAGCCTTTTTTAAACATAATGCGAAACAAGTTTTATTCCTTCTCTACTAGTATTTCACTTCATAGTCACACTCTGCCGAGACAAAACGCTATTTCACTTCATCACCGGTGTAAAAATTTGTCTAGGAAATTGGGATGAAAATGATCATCGTATAACGAAATCAGACCACTCTGAATGGCTTTATATGGTCTATTGCAAAGCACTAGATGAAAGTGACAGTTCTTCTACCGCCAGATCGAAATTACAATAGCACACTCATTCAAACTATTGAATCAGTGTCGTGAAAGATGACTGTATTCTCCTACAATCTGATCAAAGTTTGAAACGGAGAGCAAACTAAAGTGTTTTTAATTGTCTAATTATCTTTGACGAACGAATCAAATGGAAATGAGTAAAGTAAGTGCCAAACAACAAGCGTCTTGTGGCCGAGCCTATCTAAATTGGTGGTAGGTGCTCTGTCACTCAGCAATTACACTTCATTGCATTACGTTTGAGTAGCTTCTTAACTGGCTGAATTCATGAAATTTCGGTAAACTTCTTTAACGGGTAAAATCTGCTTTCGCTCTTCTGATATCCCAATGATTTTTGTGTTCTCCTTAAAATTGGTCAAACGGGTCGATTACACACTAGGTGATTACATCTGACGTTCATACCTCTACTAGTGCATCTGATCCATGGCTCCAGTTAGATTCTACGTAACTGATTGTTAGGTTATATGTCTATTCGTTTAGTCTTATGAAGCGAAAAAATTAGGCATACTACTACATTCTCAATGTGCTAATATTTAACTGCTGAAGCAAACAGTACTGTGAAAAATACAGTATGTGACAAATACATCACTTGCTTTTGCGATCATATCATTTACAAAGCTGTGTAGTCGTATTAACGGGGACTTGTAATGCATATCTCTATGTTCTAATTGAAAACAACTGAACTATATTCACTTTCGGGGGTTGTGGCCAATTATTTATTGATTTCAAGTTGGTATTCATCATGGAAACTTCGCTAAGTCAACCAGTTTACTAGTCACCAACCGGTCCTAAACCCGCATAAAGAGGGGCATACAGCTACCAACCATACCCCGGAAAACAAATCCGGCCGCTAAAGAAACTTCAAAACACAAAGAAAATATAAAAGTAAATTTATTCCTCGCTGGAATCGGAGAGGCGAAATGACACCAGTTGGCTAAAGCCTTCAGCAAGCCAATCGACCGATGTGTCTTCGCCTACCCCGATGAAAGCGAAAGTAAGAATGGCCACATGAAATGTACACAACATGTTTGAAGCTGGCTAGTAAGGCTGCCCAGATTGTCAAAGAAATGAGAAGGTATGGTGTAGAAGTGCTACACTAGGAATCTACAGATGAAATGGAAGTGGACTCCCCAAACTGTCAACTGGAGAGGAGTCAATAATATACTCTGATATTGTCACCCAGACGACAACCACGAGCACATCACACTGAGTTTTCGAGTGGCTATCATGATGCCCCCCTCCCAACAACATCCAAGGCTCTTTCTCATGCAGTGGGAGCCAATCTCCTCCAGCATCAGCATCATGACAACAAGATTCAACTGAAAAGGAAGGAAAGTCACAACCATACAATGTCAATGCTACGCTACGAACCTGCAAATAATGCAGATGAAGAGAAGAAGGATGAATTCTATGGACAACTACAATCAGTAATGGACAAGACCCCATCACCGATGGCGACATCAAAATTCATTATAATGGGTGGGGTGGGGTGACATGAATGACAAATCGGGAGCGGATAACACATGAAAAGAACCAATCATGGGTCGAGAAGCACTCGGTGAAATGAACGAGAAGGGAGAACTGTTTGCAGATTTCTGAACATTCAACGATTTGGTGATTGAAAGCAGTGTGTACAAACACAAGGATATTCACAAGACAGCGACATGGACTTGATTTCACCGGATGGAGACGCAGCCTACTGGACACAAGATCAGTTGAAGAAGAAGAGCAGATGTAGGTCCACACCACTCACTATCTAGTGCAAGGAGCCTACCTTCAAAATCAAGTAGAAAGCCTTCAGAGAAGTTGATGACAGACCACAGTTCAAGTTGAACAACCAGAACAGAAACTGAACTGAAGGACAAAACTACAAAAAATATCTTCATGTCAGTCAGTCATCAGGACAAAATGGGAAACATTGAACAATATCCCTGAATAAACCTGAGTGGAAGAACACTGGGACTCTTTGAAAGCTGTCTGGAAAGAAACATGCATAACCATATTAGGAAGAAAGGGGAAACAAGACAAGGAATGGATCTCGATGGACACATGGAAGCTGATAGAAGAGAGGAAGATGGTGAAGCCGAAGATGAACCAGTGCAAGGATGCAGAACAAAAAGAAGAACTGAGTACAACGTATAAAACACTACACTGGACAAAGGAGTGATGAAGAGTGCGCACAAAGACAAAAGACACTTCTACGGCACACCAGCAAGTGAAGCAGAACAGGCTGCAGGTAGAAGAGACAGAGACCTGACAACATTGTATCAAATAACCAGGTTACTATCTATCTGGGAAGAGATCAACACAGATGAAACCAATAAAGGATGATGAAGGAAATCTAATTACGAAAGAAGAGAAACAAAGGAAACGATGGGCCAACCACTTCAAAAAGCTCTTGAATCGACCACCACTTGCACTTCGTGCAGAAATACCACTAGCAGCCCAGCCACGGGATTACCAGTGAACACAAGCTCTCCGACGAAAGCCGAAGTCCTGAACGCCATAAGGCTACTACAATGCGTGAAAGCAGCAGGACCAGATGAAATTTCGCCAGAATGTCCCTTTGCCCAGCCAGGAATCGAGCCCGGAGATGTTTGGTTCGATTACTGTTGAGTGGGCTCTTAGGTGCGCAATGCTGAAAAGTCCTATACTGGTATGAAACAGCTTTCCAATGCTTACAGTTTTCCAATTTTCCTCCAACTGATGTCAGTCCATAATGAATTATTATTATTATTTTTCCATTGGGTTCCTATTGGAACTTGAGGCTGCAGCAGCAAGTCGCCATTTCACTCTCTTCTTTGCAGTCTTTTTAACCTGGTCCCACGACTGCCTATAAGCTTTCATTTCTTGCTCACATGATGTCCTCCATTTCACCCTCGCCTCAGACGCCCAACTCGTCGTTTCCCATCTGGATTCCACTCGACGGCCTGGTGTGTGATACTCCAATCGGTCTTATCAGTGTATGTCCAGTCCAATCCATATCGACTTTCTTCTGCATATTTTTTGGGCGATAGCTTCTTGGTTGGTTCTTTGCGAGTCACAGTGAGTGCCTTGTTGCTTATCCTTTCTGGCCATCCGATATAATCTTCAGTGTCGAGTGAGCGTAGGTGGCAGCTGTTGGTGAATGTCTGTAGTTTGTTGGGAATGCTTTTTCGTGACACGCCAAGTTTCTGAACCATATAGCAGCACTGACTTAACTGGCATTAGTGTTTAAAATCCGGATCTTCTTCTTTATCCTGAGTGCAGTGCAGTAGATCTCCACACTGGTTTCAGGTTAATGAAGGCCTGTCTTGCTGTCTTTCCGATCCTGGCTGCTTTGACGTTCTCATCTGTGCCGCTCCCTTATAGTTGAAACGATGCTGACTTGTCTAGCTAGGTGGATGAGACTGCTTCTCCCGTTCATGGTGCTCGGTGTTGTTGTTGTATTTGGTTAAGTATCTTCATCACCTGTGTCTTCTCTACGTTCACTTGAAGTCCTGTCTTCATCAAGCAGCGTATGCCCCTCTTTTCTCTTCTCACAGTTTATTGTATGTTCCAGTCGACCACAATCAGCAGGATCAGCGGTGATATTATGCAAGAATTAATTTAATCATATTGATATCAAGTGACTATTTTGAATAATTTGTAAGTGAATAGCACGACGAGAATTTAATGAAACATCTTATTCGCTTCAAACTCTGTCTTCTAACATTTATTAACCTAGGCATATTTCAAGTGATACTGATTGGTCATTGCATAGTAACTAATTTCATGCTATCTAGTTATAAATGCTGAGCAAGTTTTATAAATCATTTTGTAATATGAACTACAGGCCATAAGACTGACTATCATGGTTAACTTTGATTGATGTTCGGTGGCAAACAGTAGGAGACCATGTTTCCCCCGGGCACTGATTTCTTCTCAAAAATTTGAACCTGAATCATTCAGTATTTATATGGGCTACGAATGACTTCATCTAAGAACGGATACAACATAGTGATTTGCCATTGGAGAATAATAAGCTTTATTTTGTCCATTCACTTATCAAATCCTGCTGATTACCTTCGATTTCCTAACATA